TCATCTTCAGGATTGACCTAGTATTTTGAGTATCATACATGGTCAGATGTTGTTGGAGGAAGGTAAAGGGGGAGGGTATATGGCTTGGGTTCGCAAGGCTATGCTTATGAAGGCAGTTCATCCATCTCAGCATTTTATGATCCTAGTAGAGCTGAAGAAAGTGTAAGCAAAGGGTTGTAGTGCTAATAAGAGAGATAGAAGAGATGAGAAATGTTCAAAATGAGATGCAGGCAGAGTTGCGATCCTACAGAGATAAAAATCAAAAGAAGAAAGAGCAAGAGCAGTCACATGCATCACTAGACAACGAGGATATAGAGGAGGATTAGTACTCTTTTTTTTATGAACTTATTGTAAACTTATTTGGTTTGATGAACTTATATGTAAACTTGTGATGAACTTATTTGGTTTGACTTATTGTTTGGTTATGAACTTATTATGAGTTAATTTATTTTGATGAATATATTTATAATAATTATTATGTTTGATTATAGTTACGTGTTGCCCATATTTGTGAAAATACTTGTATTTTTTGTGCAGGTTTAGAGCTTAGGGTGAAAATCAGTAAAATAAAGGGGAGGCTGTCATTTTTTTTTAAATGCTACAAGTTTCCGATGGCCAATCAGCGGTTTGGCTGCCGAAAACTTCGATACCGGACGGTTAATATCAGTCACCGGAAGATTACTATTACCGTCGGTAGTTTTCGGCGGCTTACCGACGATTTTTGATGGTTCTCCGGTGATACACTGGCGATGGAGACGCCAGTAATTCCTTCAGTTATGACCGTCGGTAAACCGCTGCTATGTTACCGACGATATGCCGGCGGTTTGGCAGCCAAAAAAAGCTGACTAAACTGGCAGTTAAATAGCCAGTATGCCGCATGTAAATAACCGGCAGGCACCGGCATTATGACCGCCGAAAAACTATCGACGGTAACTCCTGTCGGTAAACCGCCGGAAATAGTTTCCTACGCGATTTTTACCGGTGAATTTTAAACCGCCGCAAAGCCGCCGATTTTTTCCAAAATCACTGGAAAGCTTATGATAACCGCCGGAACAAGCCGCCTTTACTAAGTGATTTTCTTGTAGTGGCTTATTTTGTTTTTTTATTATGTGTGCTTTCTATTGACACTAGTTTCATACTGACACCTATTTGATAGTTGCAAGACGCAACATAAATATCATTTTACATCATTTTAAAAATAGATTGTCGTCCATACCATGATATTCTGACGTACAAGTTATTTTATCTGTGTATATTGGATTCCTAGTAGGTTTCGAGTAGCTACTGAGCAAGTGTTGCTCACTCCTATTTTACCGGCACATGTTATTTAAAGAAAAAGATAAAGCTCCAATTAAGTACATACTAGTGACACCCATTGGAACCTGAATTTGGTATGTTTACTTTACTGGCTTATTATGTTGATAGGCATAATAATTGTATATGATTGGGTGGAAAAAGAGGCTAGACCATAATTGCTGAGTATAGATCTTTTGATTTTTTTTTCCGGGAAAGTGAATGAAAGGATGTTGATTTTATTATTTATTGTATTTTTATCATTTAGGAATGTCATATGTTTGTAAATATTGAAGAAAATATGCATATAAGAAAATTCCTTCTAATTAGATCTTGAGATGCGACATGTCAAGTTTGAATTAGACATACTTGGTTGTTTGTGATAACATGACTAAGTCATTCATAGCCCCCAAATTTGTCATTGATCTTAGGAATAATTATTAGGTCCGGACACCTGACGTAGCTCTACATCCGGACGCCAATAACATGTTGCCACGTGCTCTTACTCTTAACTGCGAATTACGACGACCCGGACCCGATATTGCTATGTATTGGTTAATTTGTGCAGACCAGTGTATTGCTCGGTATTGCTAGGTATTGATCTTGACAGATTGGCATTTCTCGTTATTGTCGAGCAATACCAAGCAATATCGAGCAATACCTAGTAACACCGAGCAATACACCGGTCTACATGATTTCAATCTAGCAATACCGAGAAATCTCTCTTTTGTATTAAAATCAAGGCCCTAAAACCCTAAATACTAGATTCCTCACATGATTTCAATCTACATCCAAATACTAGATTCCTCACTTAGCCAAAAATAAGTGAATTTAATTATGCACATCTATATCTTTTTCTTAAATCAAATTAAATTGAAAATTGAAGGCCTTTCACATTATGATTTGCCTAGTGCAATCAAGTAATTTTTGCTAAGTCATAAGCCCTTAGACATATTTACTTTCCCCAAATCAAGTTGACTCTTGTCTCTAAGATTGCCTTTGAAAACTCATAAAAAATACTTTATTCCTTTATGATATGATAAAGTATCCTTCCAACCCAAAGGTGGAATGCTTATGTTACTATATTCTAGGACATCATGAATGATATCTTGTATCAAAACATGGAATGGTCATTCAATGAGTTCTTCATAACCCTTCAAAAACATTAAACCTTTTTTTATAAGCTAACAAAAAATTTTTAAGTAAAATATAATTTAAAATGAAACAACTACTAACAAGAAATTAAATCATTTCTTATATTCACAAAGAAATAACACATCAACTATTAGTCTGACATTCACACAACCTTGCAAATATTAGATATATTACTCTTAGTCATCCTACAGCTGGGTGTAGTTAGAATTTTTTTGTTTCTAGCATTTAACTGTGATATTGGGTATGAAGTATTTAATAATAATTGTGTTGTGAGCACTTGCTATTACAAGGTTAATATGAAATTAAATATTTTGAAAATATAGTAACTTGTCAAGGTTAAAAAGTATTTAATTTTAGTTGAAAAATAATTAGAAAATAAAAAAAAAACAAGTAAAATATGATAGAAATAAAAAATTAAACAACAAAATAAAAATAATATTTGGAAGAATTTTTATGTTCAAATAATTGAACTTTCATTTCTAAATCATCCCATGCTCCATAATTGAAATACAATACAACTTTCAATAATGAGATATATAAAAATTATTAAAATTATTCAAAATATAAGTAACTCTTAATATTCTCATGACTCTTTGTATATTTGAATATATTATTTTCTCATAATTTATTTAAAAAATAATATTATGCTTTGAATTTTAATCCCAATAATTATTTTCAACTCTTAAATTTCATATATACTTTAACATATGAACTGTTATAATTATTTTTTAAAAATTAAAATATAACAATAAAAAATTGGTGAAATCACATAACTTTTGAAGATAGTAATATATATAATTATTATGAATAACACTTTATATGTTTCTTGTCCATAATTAAAGATCAATCAATGTGGATGCATGAAGAGGCATGCTATCTCTTTAATGACTTGTTGGTGTTCTTTAATTAAATTGTTCTCAATTATGAGAGCTATAATAGAGAGGATATTAGGAGACATAACAATCAAAAGAAAAATCGAGTTATATATCATACTTTTATTTTTATTTTTACCATATTATATTATTAAAAAAAATCTTGTTACATCATTGATGTATTATGCATTGATATTGTTACAAGCTAAAAAAATTGAGTAAGTGTTCGTTTTACATCTCAATGTTGTACCTAAATTAATCTTGCATGCATATATAAAAATAGAAAGATCAGAAACTTTTTATATGGAAAATTAGGAATGGGAAAATCCAATATATATCAGAGGGTATAAGAATCTATCCTTCTTCACGGTTGAAGAAAAAAAGGACTATTTAAGACTAAAATGTCTTATTTCTCTTGTGCATGATTACAAAAGTATGGTGTCCGCAAGTGGACAGGCCAACATGGTTAAATTTTGACAGGAGTCTGAAGATAGTGGTGATTACAGAAGGTGATTGTCAATGACGATACTGGTTGTCCGTGATAATAGCTGGTGGTGGTTGTAGCTGACGATAGCTAGAATATGCAAGAGATTTCTCAAATTTTCTCCTTTCCTCCCCTGCTCCACTCCTAATGTGGAGAATGAAGCTCTATTTATAAGTTTTTTGGATGAGCATTTTTGTAATTTGAACAAAATCCAAAATACTTCATCGTATGGTTTATATCAATTTTCTTGATCATGAAGTTTTTTTTTTCAGCATTTAAGTGTCTTAACGATATTGGAATTGAGTGATCATGGGCTCATTGGATTTGTGTCGTTGAGCTGCTTGATTCGACTATAAACATGTCAAATTTGAAGTTTAGACAATCATGATTTAATTAAAAAAATTTTTAATTGAACAATTCGAGATTTTTATAAATCATATGATTTTTTTTGAAGTCGTATTATATATAATTAATGTTTATCAAATTCTAAAATTTGATTTTATTATGAATACTTTGATATTCAGAACTTTTTATAGCAAATATTGATTATGACAAAAAAATAATTTATGTAAGGGCTGCTTGCTTCGCTGAAAAAGGAATGCATATCAAATGAAATGTAGCGAAAAAAAAAATGCAATATATTTGAAATATTTGGAATTAATTAGAAAAGTTTAAAATAAATGTAAATAAATTTTATTTGTTTGACTTGAAGAAAAATAAATAAAATATAAATCCTAAAAATGATGGTGGTTAGTGGCAAGTGATGATAGTCGGTGTTGGCAGATAATACACAATAAATGACCAACATCAACTCTCAACGACAACATCAAAGTTATTTTAGTATATTTAAAAATCGACTAAATCTATTGATTTTTTAGTTACATTAAATTTGAACTATGTGGTGCATTAAAAATACTATAAAATTCTACTTTTCATTTCTTTAACTTCAAATAAAAATGCTAATATTTTAAAATCCCTATATTTGAAATATTTTACCTACATTTTATTTAAAATCAAAGAGTCCTTTTGTTAAAAGTAATAGCTCAATTATAACATTTTTAAATAAAAACAACACTCTTATAACAATATATATTTTCTTAAGAACAAAAAAATTTCACATCCCTTAAAAAAAATCTCTTATCAAAAAGCACTAAGCTCTTACCAACAAAAAATACTTCATTGAACAGTGTTCACACATTACCTACTCATCGATGCGACGCTTATCCGAATCGCGAAGTTGATCCTTTTCCTAATTCTCGTGTAGCATCAGCTGTGGCTTTAGGTACATTCAAGAGTTCCTCTGGAAATATTAATTCTTGAAAACCTATTTCAGAAACCCTAATCCCACTTCCACAAAGCCCAAAATTTCAAAAACAATGGCGAAAGGCTGTTACTTTTAGCCCACAAATGGAAAGACGGCGGCTTGCCCTCCTCTGTTCCCATCTCTGCTCAACCGGACGGCCGCCATTGTTGTGCGCTTTGCCTCCGGTGCTATCGGCATCCAGTTGCCATGCCTCGGCCGGCGATGGTGGGCGGCCGGAAGGGGACACCGAGAAGGAAAGATGTGTATTTTGCTTGATTGTTCGGGGGGAGTCCCCAGCCTTCAAAGTTAGTCATCCTGCTCATTCTTTATCTTTGATTATCCTTTTCTTTTTTCAAATTATGAAGTACTTTAATATGTATTGATGGGTTCGGTGTCGAGTAATTCAGGCTTAGTTGTCTGTTGATATATCTATAATGTAATTTATCACTCTTCATTCAAAAAAAAAAAAAAAAATCTGATAATGATAATTGGTTTTATGTGGAATGGGTTGATTTGTGGGAAAGTCGACTATGCTTGGAAAAGTTAATATGAAACATAAATAGAGTAATTGAGATGAAGCATAACTCATTATGTAGAGCTCGTTTTAATGTACTGTAGGTAGAGGGATTGATGTATTCACAACCTTATGCCTGCATTTCAGATAGGCTATTTTATTCAAATTTGTGACCTCTAGGTCATAATGGAGGGATCCACTTTTTACAAACAAAGCGTTCATATATTAATCTGCAAACATCTCCACATTATCAAGCTATTGGTCTGTTTAGCTTTCATTCAGTCCCTAGGTATCCACCAAATGAGCATTGCTTAAAGTATTAAATAAATTAAGGGATCATTTGTTTTCTTGTACATAGAAACCATGTTTTAGAAACTAACGATTTCATTTTCACACTTTTTTATGTGAAAATGAATTCATTAAATTTTAAAGGAGTTTTGGTTTCTGATTAATTGAGCAGATTTTTAAATCACATTGTTTAACTTCATGAAGCCAGATGAGCCCTAAGCTGAAATTAGTCTCTACATCAGGAACTTGAGGAGACAACCACAAAAAGGTTGGAATAGTTTTTGATCTAAAGTTGGGTAAAATGGTGAAGAAAGGCTAAATGAGCTGAGATTTATAATTTAAACCATTATGCATTAAAAAAGTATAGTTTATGTCTTCACTGATCTATTGTTATTCTTTTAACTATTGGTTGTTCAAGTTTGCTTGTGGAATCTTGAACTTTTAATGCTGTTTTGTTATCTTTGCCAATTTCATGATTCCCCTCCTTTTTTTGTTTGTTTCTTCTATGTTCAGAGAAAATATTTTTAGTAGGCAAAAGTACATTTCTACCTAGTTTTCATTGGATATATTTAGTTTTTGTCATGTTTTCAATGTACTAAGCTGGATGTCATGTTCAATGGTTCATTTTTACTTCAATGTGCAAAATGTAAAGTAAAGTGAGGCTTTTGCTAATTAGAGTGCTCTTTACATGTATATCATATATACATGCATTATTTGCATACAATAACCATTGAATTAACTGAAGTTATATAAAATTAAGTTAAAATTTCAACAAATATAATGACACATCCAATAGTAGTAATTTATAATGATTTGAAAGCAAAAAAGAAAAAAAATGAATCTTAGATATAAAGAACAAAGTAATACAAGCATATTTAAAAATAAAGAATACTCTTGAGATTGACGAGATGATGAGAAGCAGAGGCGGTATGCTGCAAGAAAGAGTGAAGATGTTATGCATTGAGGAGTCTGTAGAGGATGCATCAAGAAGCATTCTTGACAAGCTTGCGAACGAGAAGCCTCTAGCATCAACAATGAGAATCAATGAGAAATGCACAAGAAAATGAGTGAGTGAGAGAGCGTGTAGAGATGAATCACCAAGAAGCAATGAGGTTTAGTGAGAAAAAAAGCAAACCAACGGACGATGATGTGATTACTGCAATAACTGTGGTTCTGCAAGCATAGTTGCAGTAAATGTAGAATCAAACCTCAAGATATGAACTAAGAATTTGTTCAGAGTTGAAGTCGTGTGTGCAATGCCACAATGCGACACAAAATAATGACATGATGCTCAACTTTATCCATGAATTCACTTTTGACAGGCAAGAGATGTGGAGGGCCAGCACATCACTTCATTAAGCTCCTAAAAAATGTTTTTGACATCATTGATTTTTTTATTATTTATTATTTTGGTTTTCATCAACCAATAGTTGTTCCAAGTTCCTAATTGGAGCTTTAGTTTTCTTCCTAGATTAGTTCCTTTCTTTGAATACTGATTCCTTTCTTATTTCTTTTATGTGCAGCTTTATGAAGATGATGTTTGTCTATGCATTTTGGACTCCAACCCTCTAAGTTTTGGGTATGGTACTTCAACCTTTTGAGCAAAACACATAGAGTCTGTAGAAGTATGCTCATAAAGAAATTTTTATCATTCATTGGGTTGCAAATTCCTCTAGATTTGATTCCATGAATGTAACTTATGCAACTCAACAAGATCTTCTAGATTGATGCGGTTTCATTTATTCGGTTATGTGATATTGGAAACATAAGATATGTATATTTTTCTTAGTGTTAAGTAGTCTTATCAGTACAAATTTTTTGGGTCCTAGATTTATCTCCATTTCGATGAATTTCTTTTACACTTGAATGGGACATTTAGTCTGTTTCATGGATTTTGCAAGTGTTTTTTTTGTTTGTTTGTTATTATAAGCATGATATCATAAGAACTAATTTGATGAAATGTTGAAATTTATGGGTATGCTTAAAGTATGGCCCTCTTCAATGTTAATCTAGGTTAGCTTAACACAATTTATGAATTGCTCATAGTCCTTTCCTTCTTATTAACTTAATGAAAGATATTTTGATTATGCTATTATAATTCATTTTTGTGAAATGTTTTAACTGGGTTCCTTTTTGCAGACACTCTCTAATTATTCCAAAATTGCATTTTCCTTCATTACAAGCTACTCCACCTTCGGTGAGTTTTCTTTTACTTACATGTTCATCAGCATAGGTCAGATTTATGAAATTAAATCTTCTGACATTTATGTAATTTTATAGCATAGGCATTTTGATGCTATATGAACGAGGCTTTTTCATGTCTAGAAAGCACTCGTGGACTTTGGACCTAGATTTGTTGGTTTATGCTTTGTAATTCCAGTTGTTCATTGTTTAGTCCAGTATTAATGTTAAAGAGATAAGGAAGAGGTAGGGAAAAACAGGTGTACAACAACAACAACATCAAGCCTTTATCCCACTACGTGTGGTCGGCTACATGAATCATTTTTCTCCATTATGTCCTGTTAGGAGTCAAATTCTCATTTAGATCTAATAAAGAAAGGTCTTTTCTAATATTTTCTAACCAAATATTTTTAGGTCTACCTTTACCTTTCTAAACATTGGTCAAATCTAATACATCTACTCTCCTAACCGGGTCATCAGAAGGCTGCCGTTTTATGTGACCAAACCATTTAAGGTGACTCTCTCTAATCTTATCTGCCACTAAAGCCACCCCAACATTTTCATAGGTGTAGTTACCATTATTAATGAAGATTTAACCTAAACTACAGTCAATTTATCTTTGCTAGCAGAATGTGAAATGCAATTATAAATGGGAATGAAGAACAAAATTCTATTTAGAAGCCTGCTGAAATAATTAAGATCAGGAGGTTGCTGGTTTTTTTTTTTTGAAGAATGCAAGTAGCAATTAATATGGAAAGAACTAGATACAAGCTAAAGTAGAGGCTCACATTCCTTCTTCAGTAAAGAACAAAGAGGAGGAATGTTAGCAAAAGAAGAGCTATTGAACCAAAAGTTGCTATCTAAAGCCAAAGTAGCACACATATCGGCTACCTTATTATAATCTCTATGTATATGGTGAAGAATTACCTTATTGAAATCGGCCCAGAAAAGAAAATCGTCCTCCATCCAATTGTAGTTTTGCCACTTAGCCTTATTCAAAGAATGTTGAATGAATGTGATAACATTTATGTTATCCCCTACAATTATAACCCCTTTACTCTCAAGCATCCACGGTTGAATGAATCTTCTAATAGCCATCACAACATCCAATTCAAGATGAGCTATATCCCAATGTGTTCTTTTTTCTCCAAAAGCAATCAATAATCTTCCTTTATGGTCACGGAAGCAACCACCAATTCCAGCATTATAAGAAGTTAGTAGAGCTGCATCAACATTGATCTTAATCCAACCAAGCGATGGAGGGTGCTAAAAGTTTTGAAACTCCCTAGAGAGATTAGCACCCCATCTATCTATGATTGGATTAGAAGATTTAAAAGCTGAAGACAGCACATTAGCTACTGTAACTGCAGCAGAATTTGCATATTTTCCCTGGTTAACCTCCTTTCTATTCCTCCAATTAAAGTATACCGTGGTACAATAGAGATTGGCAATATTATGTGCAAAGCTAGCAAGAGTTCTCAGCTCACGTAAACCTTCAGCCAGAGAATTAAAGATAGGTATGTAGAACCCCCATTCTTGAATCATTCTAAGAATCTCCTGCAGATGAATGCAACAGACAGCTATATGCTCCAGATTTTCAGTTTCTTGACATCCCCTAGCACATAGTTCCTCATCTTTAAGTTTCCTATATTTTAAGAACACATTTGTTGGGATAGCTTATTTACTCAATCTCCACCAAAACAATTCAATCCGAGCTGAAAGTCTCAGTTTTTTTAACCAAGTAAAAAAACCCATATCATCACCAATACTACTAAACTTGTTGTATGCCTCAACTGCACGGGCAGTAATAGACCTGCCAGATAAACAACAAATTTCTTCTAGATAATCCTCATTTGCCCTTCTATCGATCGGAGTATGTAGGATGGTAGTGATAAAGTCATTCTGAAAAAAGCCTTGTAACTTTTGGAGTTTCCAACCACCATTCTCATTGATGAAATGATTGAGCTTTAATCCTTCTAACTCCAGACAATTTGCAGTGATTGGCCATTCATTCAAGCATTTATCTAGCAGCCATGTATCATTAAGAATATCTATATTCTTACCATTAACAACTCTCCACCTTAATAAAGGTTTTAAGTATTGGGCACCTTCAATCAAAATCTTCCAAGCAATTGAACTTCCATGCCTGTTTTTAGCTTCCCACAAGTTATTTCCATATTTGGCAGAAATAACCTGATAAAGTAAAGAATCATAATTTTGAAGGAATCTCCAAGATAGTCGTGCTTTAAGAGGTCCGGCTCTACTTGCCGCCGAATGAAAATTCAAACCTCCTTTTGCTTTTGGTTTACACAAAGTATTCCAACCAATGTAATGCATTCCCCTCTTACTATTCCCCTTATGCCAAATAAAATTTCTACAACATTTATCAACCTCTTGCAACACCTTCTTTGGGACCAAGGTATGTGTAGAAACAAAATTAGGAAGAGTTAAAAGAGAAGTCTTAGCAAGAGTAAATTTACCCGCCAAGGATAGTTTTTTACTTCCCCATGAGTTCAGCTTTTGCATCACTTTATCCAGCAGAAATTGAAAATCAGATTTTAGAGGTCTCCTTGTCATCATGTTGATGCCTAAATACTGCAGCTCATTAACAGTTTTAAACTCCAGAACCTTCTTTACTCGGGAAACAACAGCTCTGCTCATACTCTTGCTAAACAAAATTTGAGATTTAGAGTTATTAACTTTCAAACCTGTCCAGGAATAGAATTCCATCACAATATTTTTCAGTTTGACAGCCAGATGGTTTGTAGCTTGGGAAAATATCAACACGTCGTCAGCAAACAGTAAATGGTTCACCTTGGGAGCTCTCAGTGAGACTTGAATCCCCAGATCATGGCCTCTTTGTGACATAGCTAAAGAGAAAAGTTGAGAGCAAAGGATATAAAGATATGGTGACAGTGGGCAACCCTGCCGAAAACCATTCTCTGCTGTAATCCATTTGGAAGCCCTTCCATTAATGATAAAAGAGAATCTAGCATTCCTTATACATTCCATAATAAGCCTAGATATATTCTTCGTCATGCCAAACATATCTAAGACTTGGGCAAGAGAGTCCCAACTCATACTGTCATAAGCTTGCTCCTAGGGCTGCAAGCGAACCAAACGTTCGACGAGCTACTCATTGTTCGGTTCGATTAAAGCTCGTTTGTGATCGTTTAATTAACTAAACAAACAAACTTGAACAATATTTTAAATACTCGATTCTTAAATAAACAAACTTGAACACTAATGTGTTCGGCTCATTTATGTTCGCGAACAACATCATTTGAAGTTCGTGAACAAGCTCAATATTAAGCTCGATAAGAAGCTCGATTCGTGTTCGATTTTGAACTCGTGAATAAGCTCGATAAAAATAATTAATATTTGACTATAAAATTAATAAATATAAATAATCATTGCCTTTGTTACATAGACAATTGCTTTTATTATATATGTGTTTGTTCATAGATATGTTCATGAACGTGTTTGTTTGATAGTTAAAAAAAATCGTTAAATATGTTCGCGAACAAGCTCGATAAGCACTAAACGAACGAACATGAACTGAACATGAACCGAACATGAACACTCCTTAATTTCAATGAACCAAACATGAACACAAACAATAAAGCTCGAACAAATATTAACCAAACTTGAACAAGGTGATATTAAATGAACACAAACATGAACACTCACATACTTGGCTCGGCTCGGCTCGGTTCGTTTGCAGCCCTACTTGCTCCATATCAAGCTTAACCACCATTAAACCCTTTTTGCTTTTCGAAATTCTAAGCTTATGAAAGATCTCATAAGCTAGAAGACAATGGTCAGACATAGAACGACCATTGATAAAAACAACTTGTTCTTCAGTGATACACTTGGAAATATAGCTTTTCATTCTATTTAGAATCATGGTTGCTACAATCTTATAAGTTGTTTGACACAAACTTATAGGCCTAAAGTTAGAAAGAACAATAGGCTTATTGATCTTTGGAATTACGACAATAAGTGTATCTTTCCATTCATTATACATACAACCGGTTTTGAAAAAATTATCAATAGCCTTCCATGTATCCTCCTCCACAATCTTCCAATAAAATTTGAAAAAGAAGTTGTAATGCCATCAAAACCAGGTGATTTGTTATTACCTTGACTGAAAACAGCTTTAACATATCTTCTTTAGTGAATTCAGCATCCAAGAGCTTTGCATCTTCACGAGATATTCTCAGATTATCCGGAACTGAAGGCCATCCAGTAAGCTTGCACTCCCTAGCTGTCCATTTCCTCTTGAAGAAGTTGTAGAACACATCTTCTATTTGATCAAAATCTTCTACTACTGCATTACTTTCATTTCTAATTTGCCAAATCAAATTACTGTTTCTCTTAGCTGAAGCATACTGATGAAAGTATCTTGAATTTGTATCACCATCTTGCTGCCATTTACTTTTTGCTCTTTTATTCCACCAAGTAGACAATCTTCCCAAAGTCACGTTTAACTCATGAATTTTGTTTCTTAACTGTTCCAGCTTATCTGCCGTGAGACCAACACTTGATTCTTCCAACTGCAGCTGTAAGATATCCCTCTTCAACTCTGTTTTCAGTGAATTCAATTCTTTGCACTTATTCTTATTCCAGAAATAGAGAGCTTTCAAAGTTCTCCTTAATTTTCTTTGAAGGATTTCATCATTAGTACCAAAATCAGCTTTCTTCCATGCCTTTAAAACAATGCTCCAAGTAGCCGGGTAGGATTTCCAAGTGTCTTCAAATCTAAAAAATTTTGATTTCAGATTTTGAGGCTCAACCATATTAAGAGAAATGGGAGCATGATCCGAAGCAACTCTAGATAAATGGCGAACCTTAGCTATTGGGATTTTGTGTAGAGCTGTAGAATTTAATAAACATCTATCCAATCTCTCCCAAATTCTCGAAGTGCCTTATTTGTTATTACACCAAGTAAAGCTTGGACCTACAAAATCAATATCATGGAAATCATTATTTGTTAAGAACATCTTCATTTCTTTAGTCCCTTTAGAGAAATGGAATCTCTTCCCACCTTTCTTATCCTCCTTAGAGAGGATGCAATTAAAATCTCCTCCAATGATACAGCGATTATCACCTATCATACAACCTTCAAGATCTTGCCAAAGACTTCTGCGGGTTTGAACATCCCTTCCTCCATAAACAGTAGCAATATTCCATTTCCCCAAAGCATTAATGTTAAGAGTTCCCATTATAAATTAGGAAGAATGCTCAATGACTTCAAAGGACGCCATAGCTCTTTTCCACAACACCAAGATGCCACACGAAGTACCACTCGCAGGATGATGGAAATAATCCCATTCATTTCCAGTAATCATATTGATATCACTTATGTCTAGAGAAGACAACTTCGTTTCAGTAAGACCAACAAAAAAACCTTCATTGTCTTTCACAATCTCCCTAAAGATATAAGGAGGCCTCTCTCTTTCTAGCCCCCCTACAATTTCAAAAGATAAGGGATGCCATTAAGTAACAATAGGGGAGTTCTCCCCTATCATTTTATTGGTTTTCTTCTCACCTCTCCTCTTCCTTTGATCTGCTTCCATTGGTCCCAATGATCTCAACTCCTTGGATAATTTGAATTTGCCTGAGTTTGTTAGGTGTATCGCTGGGTCACCTGTATCTTGCATTGCATTATCAGCAAACACATCAGGAATAATAACAGTATCAGCAGAGCTTTCCTTATTGGATTCATTATTAATTCCAGTACTAGCCATCTCAATGACTTCCCCTTCCTCCAGGTCATTATCCAGAATTTGAAATTTATTCAAACCAATGGGTAATTCCTGGATCCTCTTCCCTTCAGCATCATTTACAGTTTTTGGAATGCTAGAATTGCCTTGCAGTTTTTCAGAAATAACTGGCTCACTAATCTGCACGCCATCCTTATTATGATTCACATTTTCAACAGGTTTATATACCTGTTTAACTGGAGCATTTGATCCGTAGTTTTTATTTGCATACCTGTGAATTTTCTGCTTTTGAAGTTAACGTGGATCCATGGGCCATATTCATCATTTCCTTGTTGTTGTAAACCTTTATCCAATGTATCATTACTTTGCTTCAAAACTTCCCTTGCTTCATGTGAATTCTTCTCCTTAGACTGTTCTGAAATCACTTCAGGACATAAAGTTTTGCTGTGCCCCACCCTTCCACAGTGATAACAGAGAGATGTTAACTTCTCATATTCCACCTTTTGAAATGTTCTTCCATGTACCCCTTCTATCCACACTCCCTTGGGAAGTTTCCTTTACAAATCAATACGCACACAACACCTAGCATATTCCCTTTTCCCCCATTTGAAAGAATTCCCATCAAGTAACATAGGAGTTCCAACCATGGAAGCAATCATAGCAATATTCTCTTCGTCCCAACAGCTTAATGGTAGACCCGGAAATCGAATCCACACCGGAGATGTGATACCTTTTAACTATTCTGTAGAGAAGGAGGGAGACCACCTATCCATACCGATAATGTGGTTGCCAATATACCAAGGCCTTCCACTAAACACTTCCTCCATGGATTCAATGTTAGGAAAAGAACATAAAATCTAGTTACGTCCCAATGTCGTTAAATGAAAACTGCCATATATGCTCCATTGTCGTCTAAGCTCTTGACTACAAACAGAGAAAGGTACATCCTGCCCAAGCACCTTAATAACAGATGATTTCTTCAAAACCTGAGAGTCTGCCAATTCCTTCTCTGGATTAAGCAAGACTGCCATTCCATCTTCAAATAACTGAATAGAATTTCTATTGAAACTCAACTTAATATGCTGAGTCTTTTGCCACGCCAATGTAAAATTGTTACGAGAAACAGAATTGACCTTCAATTCATCAACATCATTCACAACATTGTCATCTTGTTCAAACGCAATCGAAAGATCTTTAATAGCTTGTTTCTGGATTCCCGATTCTTGCATCCCCGTGAATTTGTTAACCTTCAGAATTAACTTTGCAGACGACGTAGGTTATGTATCCAGATTTCTGAAACCTGGTTTTACTAATTCCACATTTTTACTATCATCAAGAATATCTTTTCCTTTGCCTTCCACTACAGATTCATACCTCCAAGGAGGTCGAAAACCTTCATTGATAACCAGACAAGAAGAAGTTCTTGCTGTTCCTTGATCATCACCGCAAACTTTAAATTTTTTGTCATCGGAAGATTTGACTGGAGCAATACGAGACGGATCAGATGCCTGATTACCGCCGGCAATCCACTGCCGGCGGTCCGGAATCACCATCCCCCTTCAACGATCCGATCGCAGAAAGCCCGCAAAAAACAAAATAAAAAAACCAAGAAGAAGATTCTCTCTCTAGAAAATCGCTCCTCCAGGAGGTTGCTGGTTACTGCTCACAATGATTATCTTGGTTAACTATAACTAAAACATTTTTAGAATTGTAGGTGTAGCAGATGTATCTACTGGAATTTGTCCTTTATGATATTAGCATATGTATCTACTGCTTAAAATTTTTTCTTTAACTCATAATGAGTCACTAGGATTGTTTCCCTCCAAAAGAAGAATGCTGTTGAGTTTAGGTGCGGTAAGCTTAGCAATGAGGGTTGACAGATTTGATCACGTAGATGTTGCTTCTGGATAATACAGTCTCTCCCCCCTTCAAAGCCATTAGATATGCTGCCGAGATATGTCATTATTTTCTTTGTTCTTTTATTCAGCCTTTGCCCCCCCGTACCTATAATTGCAGTGTAGCGTTATAATATATCCATGGTGATTGTAACATCAATTATGCTCCATGATTTTTGTCACGTCAAAATGCACTGTGAACTGTTTCATGTTTTTCTTAACTGTTTCTGGAATTTTGCTTCTAATCATATTATACGTGAATCAAACAGTATAAATCTGAACATTATATCCTGCAGCTAAGATTTACCGCCAAATGACACGTAATTGCAAATGCAGGTTGTAGCAGCCATGTGTTCCACTGTTCCCTTTCTTACAAAGGCGATCATGAAAGCTACACAATGTGGTAGGTTGACAGAATTCACTGTAAAAAATTGTCTCATTGCACTAATATGGCATTATTTAGTGTTTTTTCTTTGTCTCTTTATTTTCTCTCTTGGATTGGATTAGTATCTACATGTGCAGCTGTGATCTTTTCAGAAACATGCTGAGTGGTTTGCCTTTTTCCAACCGAGGGATGCTAACTAGTATTTTTAGGTTCACAAAACATATTAATGTTATATTGGAAGGTCAAATGTCTGTAGCTAAGGATTCTCTATTTGGCTGGAATAAATGCGCTGCCAAGCATTATAAATTCCTACACAAAATTTAAACAAAAATAATAAATTCTACTGAATCAAAGCTGTCCCAAATTTTATGCATCAGGCAGCTATTTATAACCAATTAATATCCTTGGTCAATTGCCATTTTGTTGATTCAATTTAAATACCAAATCTAATCGTCCAGTGAGCCAAAATTTCATTATAGGTGAAGCGGTGAAGGTGTGACAAAAGGATCGCAACAAAGGAGATGAAAGTCACGCTCTACACAAGAATTAGCCTACACTAAGAGCCTGACAAAAACAACGTGGCGCAAGAGTCTGAAGCTCGATAGAACATGACGTAGAAAAGGAATCTCACACAATGTAGGAATCACACACGGTTCAAGAGATTGCAATAAATGTCACCGTATATACCTCTTGCTATAGTATCACATTAGGTTATGCTAAATATCTCCACTTGCCATAGGATCACATTAAGTTATGTTAAACATCTCCACTTGCCCCCGATTCAAGCCATGTGTTGTGGTATTCGTGATCTTGTTCCCAGGGATCTATTTAAGATCTATTATTATAGCTTAACTATGTAGTTTCACACAACTTAACACTTTTTATTCATAAGACATGTTGAACATAATGTAGTATTACCATAATCACCATTAAAGTTCATTGCCTTCCTAATACTTTTGAGCATAAGCTTTATCTTATTTCATCTCTATTAGAAGGGGGACAATAGGTAATGATTACATCTTTGCTCAATTTTTTTTAAGTAAAATAATATATCTGCCTATATATAGACAAGAGAAGAGAACAATCATGGAAATTACTATAATGAAGGATATCCTCTTATCTCTATAATGGGAAAATACTACAGTACACATTTGTCCTGTAACTAATCTAATACGTGTGATAATTTAGATATGATAATACTCTCTCTTGCATCTAGTAATACATGCAAAAGTATATTTATATAACTTTTGAATATAACTTTAGTTTTATACTTGTGGGCCCAAACACAATAAAATCATCATCATGATTTGTGCATAAATGTAGTAAAAACATATTAAAATAATGAACATTTTTCAATTGGTCTTGTTTGTAGCTAATACACCATATTAATTATTATGTCTTATTTGCTACTATATGATTCTTATTACATTATTATTGAAAATTTTAAATATGACATGCGTGATGGGTTTGGCATATCCCACTATTATTTTTTTATATTTAAATTGGGCATTCAAAATGGCATACCTGATATGGTGTCTTAAAGGATGAGAAATTATTAGGTACGGAGTGCGGACGGGAGAACCGTCTGCACACTAGTATAAAACAGTGTTTGGTACCGTTCGGTACCACTCGGTACCACTGGGTACCGCTCGGTACTCTGTGTCTGTGCAGACGGTTCTCACCCCGTCTGCACTCCGTACCTAATAATTTTTCCTTAAAGGATCCTAGAGTATCCAGGTGTCCTAAAGTTTCAGTACAATAGAAAGACTATTTATAAGTGTCCTTAATTCATAGAATTGCGTTTTGTAGGATAGGTATTCTTTATGATTAAGGATCATTGTCTATTTTAAACCATCTTTAGTTGATTATTGTTGGCTATATATGCGCACATACTGCAACTAGTCTTGGTGCTTTAATGGGCTCTGCAGATGCTCTAACATGAATCGTTAAAGCACTGAAGCTTGCCATTGACATGTGGTATGCAGTACGCGACAATCAACTTCATCTACATTCTAGCGGCTTCATTATTTCGAGGTTGTTATTTACAGTTATTTAACATAGCTTGCAGCCAGGCATGGCGATTTGTGCCATAACCATGATATGCTGCTAAATGCTGATGATGATAGCTGTCTTCTCTATTTAATGTCCCGACAAGAGGAGCAACACCTTGAGCACATTGAATCTGATCCATGAAGAAGCTGGCCTTGTTCTAAAATCAACCTTAAAACTAATTTTAGTTTAATGAATATTTGCCTTATCTTAGAAAGTGCTTTGCATTTTGAAATATTGAGTTCTTTGCGTTGTTTATCCTCATGATATTGTAATGTCTTAAAAAATGAGGTGAATAATGCATTATGTTACATTTATTATATTTTTTTCTTTATAATATTTCTTCATTAGTTTTATCCACTCATCTTGGTGGTGCATCTCTTTTCCTTTATTTGACATGCCTAAATCAATTAAGTCTCCGTTGATAATGTTAGATTGATATTGTGATACATGAAATAAAAAGAATCCCCATATTACTTTTTTGAAAGAGATGGATGAGTTGTTTTGTAAGGACATTGATCATGATCGTTAAGTCAATGGAAGAGGTGCACATATTATGTTGAACTTTTTTAAAAATGCAAAACAACAAAAACAAACACCAAATGAAGTTTTGCACTATTCTATTTTTTAAAAATGCTTGTCTCATCACATCTCCATTTTAAAATTATAACTTGTTCTTCTATCCTTCATAATTTTATGACACTTTCATCTTAACATTCTCATTTTAATCACATTTAATTTGGTTATCATTGACTTCTTTATTTCCAAATGCTCAAATTTATATAGCATAGGAGACCTAATTTCAATTTGCTAAATTTAAAATGATGTGCATACGTGTTTTGTTTTATTCTGACAGTCTTTTTGCTACAACTAAATGTTTGGCTTATTTGTGTGAATCATTGCCTTGCCTTCTTTTGAGTCCACCTACTTGATCAGTAACCAAACCAGTTCAAAATACAGATCAAACATAAATGGACATTTGTTGAAGTAAAAAATATATATTTGATGCAGATTCTTTCAACTTGCTGGTCAACAACGGAACAGCAGCAGGCCAAGTAATTTTTCATGTAAGTTCATTTTGCTGACACACTCATCTAATTTACTAAAACTCTACGTGCTTCAGTTTCAAGCATTTACATGTCATTTCTGTGCTAATACCAGACTCATTTGCACATAATTCCTCGTAGAGCAGGTGACCAGCTATGGCCTTCTGAGGTAAAATCTGCTTTCTTACTTGATTTCCTGCACAGATTTCATTGAAAGAGAAGCTCCTGTACTGAATGCGAATTTAATTTGCAGGGCCATAGGCAGCCAATTGAACAGAATCAGGAAACTTTGAGCCTTGTGAGTCGCATCCGAGAGAGGATCTCTCCTCAGCCAACTGCTTGTTGCAGCACTCTTGAATCTCAGCTCCATAAGAACCTGCATGATTAAGAGCTTCTGTACATGATTTTTTACATTTATAAATTTTGAAATATCTTTGGTTTGCAAGAATGTTGGTCTTGATTGTTCTCAAAGTCTGTAAAAATGCGATGGGAATAAGCAGTTCACGTGAGAACAGTTCTGTACAGTTTACAATAAGGTCTTATGGTTGATAGAACTCTATCGTCTATGTATTCATTTATGTCTTAGTTTTTCCATACTAGACAGATTGAAGACTTGAAGGAAGTTTTAAAAATTAATTTAGCAAATATATGCATGTAAACCCAGGCTTGAGACTAGGGATGCCAAAGCGGAGAAATTATTTTGTGTGTTCACCGGACTGTTGGGAGGTACATCAGAGCGCATCATATCACTCAATACAAGTTAAAAAAGTGATGTGGCGCACTCTGATTTGCCTCCTTCGGACTCTATCTGGTGACCGCACAAAATAACTTTTCGTCAAATCAGGGGTTGGAAATTCGGTTTGGGTTCGACCCGAAATTTATCCAACTCTAATTTGGACAATCCAACCACAACCTGTTCGTAACTCAAATGTTTTGAATCAACTTGTTATCCCGTTTTGGTAAAAGAATTTTTTTATACTCAAGATTATACTTGCAAGTAAAAAAAAAAGAAAAAAATATATGAAACCGGTCGTTTTCAGATAAAAAGTAAATTCACGAGTCAACTCGATTATGACCCATTTAATAAATGAGTTGAAAAAATTAATACGAACTCGACCTATTTATTAAATGGGTCAATTAGATCTTGAATTTTCTTGTTCAGGTTGAGTTGGCGGGTCAGTCATTTGTTGACAACCCTACTTTTAGACATTTTTGGCTCTCTAAATGTTGATAAGTTGAGTGAAAGTCTGTATAAAAAAAAAAGTTCAAAAGCTTTAATCAATGAATTTGGATTCATAATTAACTAACAATTTGTCAACTTTTCTTCTATTCAAATAAAAGTATTTTTATTTTTTTCCCAAGAGATTTACATATATATTGCAAAATATTATTATATTTATATATCTATTCAACATAAAATATGATGGTTCTATATAATCCGATAGTGTCTCAAAGATTTTATTTGAGACAAATTTTTTTAAAAAGCTTTTAAGTTAAAAAACTTTGATTTAAAAAATTTTGTATTAATAAGGAATCCTAAATAAACTTAAGGCTTTGTACGGGATAACTTTTTTTATTGTTTCGTACGGGATAACTTTTTTTTTGGTTGACCTAGGGTTTTTTCTCCCCCTCTTCTCTCGCCGCCACATTGCACCCGACTTCGTTCGCCTCCTTCGGCTCTGCCGGAGGACCTCTTTTCGCTTCCTCTTATGGCCTCACCACTTCATTCCTATGATTTCCCACCGATACTCTCCTCTTCTGGAGGTACCACCCCTTCTCTGCAGTGTCTTTGGAAGCATATTTTTTCTCCCTCTGATCCTTCTCCAAAAGACCTCCAGCTTGTTTTCCATCCCCCAGAGCCAGAAATTATTCCTTTTTCTAGCGACAAGTTGGCCGAAGGAGCTGAAGATTGGGGACTTAGCTTAGTGGGCTACTCCAGAGGGAGAAAGCCCTTCTATGAGGCATTACTCGGCTCCATGAAGAAAACCTGGTCCCTAAAGGTTATTTCCAACTGCTTTCACTTAGTAATGGATTCTTCCTGCTTCGGTTCTCTTGCTCGGAGGATTTCGACATGGTTTGGTCAAGAGGTGTTTGGTTTCTCTTAGGAAAGCCATTCATCCTCCAAAAATGACATCCTAAGTTCAAGCCCAAGAAGGAAAACTTCTCTTCCGTCACGATATGGATCAAGATTCATGATCTACCGTTGGCATGCTGGAACTCCGAGGGCATCTCTCGCATTGCTAGTAAAGTCAGTGTTCCTCTAGCGGCTGACAATTTGACTGCTCAAAGAACCCGTCTCTCGTATGCAAGAATTTGTGTGCTCATTGATAGTGAAGCCACTTACCCGGAAGAAATTGTTGTTTTGTTAGATGGCGACGTTGTGCACCTCAAAGTGCAATACGAATGGAGGCCCTCACCATGTGTGCACTGTAAGTCATTAATTCACTTCTCCTCAATCCTCATGTCCGTCTAAGCCAGAACAACCAAATGATGAACCTGTAAATCCTTATGTTGTTGCCTTTAAGGACCATTCGAATAGAGGTAGAAGTTTTAACAGAAAGCCAAGAAATTGTGGAGCCTATGATTCTTCCGCAGACAAGTTCTCATCAAACCAAAACCCCATCTAGTTGCCTAAACCTCCGTCTGATCTCCCTATCAATGCTAGTCCTCAAATCCCAACCATTACAAACCACTTTGGACAGCGCTCCATTACCAACCCTACTTCCCTCCTCCACTCTCTATGCATGAAGAGCCCGATTGCCAAATAGAGTATGAGTCCCTGCATTTTGTTGCTCGGATCTCTCCTCCTGATGCTAGTCCATCCAACATCCCTAATCTAAACTCACCCAATGCTGAGGACTCATCCTGTACTCACTTGCGAAACTTTTAGCCTGTTACACCATCCCCAGGGGTTATCTCCCCGAACAAGTTTAAAGTTCTCCAACAACAGGAGGACTCATCATCAACAACTAATTCTCCGGTCAATGTAGAAGTGAATGAGTTAAAAAAATTGCTAAAGGGAAAAATACTCAGTCCACCAGTTATGCCACGTCTTAAAAACCTGCTCGGGGGAAACAGGGCAAAAAGCCCCCCACACATCCTAAATCTTGATGGTTTTGCCGCCCATCGCTGCCTGGAATATCAGGGGATTTAATCGTCTTGATAAAGTTCTCTATTGTAAACGTCTTGTTGTCACCTTTAAATTAGAGCTTATGTGTATATTGGAGAATAGAATTCACCATTCTGCTCTTCAAGACCCTTTTTTTGATTCATCCCACTCTATTTTTTTTATTGAAAATAGCTGTAAAGATTTCGACCTATCATCCTCTGGGCCCATTTGAGTGAAATGGAATGCTAGTCAAATCTTATTCCAACCAAATTATTTTTCCCCTCAGCTCATTTTGGGACTGTCATCGCTGCCAACTCCACTGTGTTCTATCTCTTTGTAATTTATGCCGCTAATAATAGTGCTGATCGTTCGGCACTTTAGACCCATATTTCTCAATCTGCTCCTAACAGTGATATGCCTTGGATCCTCTTGGGGGATTTCAATTGCTACCGCTATATACTCATGAAAAGGTGGGAGGTTCTCCTCTATCCAATAGCTGCTTATCAGATCTTAACTCTATGATATTTGAGAATAGTTTAATCGACTTGCATTCGATCGGGTGTAAGTTTACTTGGTATAATCAACGCAGGGATAATCCGATTTATATAAGACTTGACAAAGCCTTGGTTAATGAGGCTTGGGGCTTCACTTTCTCTAACTATTTTTGCTCATTTCAAACCCCTTCTTGTTCTGATCATTATCCAATTGTTCTCCATCCGGGAGAGCCTATGAGATAAAACCATAGATTTCTATTTGAGAATTGTTAGACTAAGTTTGACAAATATTGGACACTTCTGTGTGAGGCTTTCCTCAAGACTCTTTATGGTAATCCTCTTGCTACTTTTTGTAACACCCTCAGGTAGCTTAAAAGTGTTATTAGGAAGGAGCCATGGGCCAATTCTTCCATTATCGAATCCCACCTCGATGAGATTCATAAACTTCCAATGGACATGATGGATAAAGTTCATGTGGATCCTCTCAACCCTTTGCTCAATGCTTCACTCAAAGACATCAACTCCAAACTCACTAATTTTTCTAGCATGATGGCATCTTGGGCCATTCAAAGGGCTAAAGTTAATTGGCTTAAGCATGGGGAGGATGACTTGAAATTCCTATATGCTAGAATTAGAAGCATAAAGAGTAAATCCAAGGCGGGTGTAAATCTTATGCAAGCTTCTCCTAATGACTCTAGTATGGATGCAATTTCTGTTATAATACAACATTTCCATGAGCTCTACAATCCAATACCTCCTCCCTTGGTTAATCTGGATTTTCCCATTGGCTATATTATTCCAGACAACATTAGGCAATATCTCACTATGCAGATTTCTGAAGATGAGATTAAAAAGGCAGTATTCTATGACTCTTCTTCCTCCTCCCCGGGACCGGATGGCTTTAATTTTCACTTTTACAAATCTGGTTGGCATATCATTAGCCCTTTGCTCGTCAAGGCGTTAAGATCCTTCTTTACTAAAGGTTACATTCCTAATGGGATTAAAGAAACTGCTCTTGCTCTAAGTTCTAAACATAAGCATGATACTGCAATATCTGACTTTAGACCCATTGCACTTTGTAATGTCTCTTACAAAATTATTGTCAAGATTATTGCTAACATACTTTCTCATATCATGCCTTTTAATGTCAAAGATAACCAAGCTGGATTTGTTAAATCTAGAATCTCCACATATAACATCTTAATAGCAATGGAAATCCTCAACTCTTCTAGCAAAAGGAGCGGCTCCAAATTCTTTTGTGCCAAGCTTGACATTTGCAAAGCCTTTGATTATGTATCTAGGAAATTTTTGCTGGCAAGGATGGCTCAGAAAGGTTTTTCCATGTTTTTGTTAGTTGGATAAAAGCCTGCATTTCTGATGTGAACTTCTCTATTATTATCAATGGAGCTCTAGAAGGGTATTTTTTTTATCTTCGGCTGGTTTAAGTCAAGGTTTCCCTCTTAGTCCCTATCTTTTTTGTTTAGTTATGGATGCATTCTCTAACCTCCTGGATAAAAGTGGTTTTAAGAGGGTATCCTTTGATGGATTATATCTTTCGCATCTACTATATGCCGATGATGTTCTTGTATTTGGGGAAGCCAATTTAGATAAATGTACAATATTATCTAGAATCCTTAATACTTTTGCAAATGCTATTGGACTTCATGTAAACTTCGACAAGAGTTCTGTTATGTTCCCCAAGAATCTGAGAAACCAAGATGCTATTTGTCAAACACTTTCTATTCACAATGTGAGCAACAAAATCACTTATTTGGCCAGTTCAAAAGATTGCCGACTTTATGCCTTTAATGGACAACATCACTAAAAAGATGTCGGGATGGTAAGCCAATCTTCTCTCGTTCGTCGGTCGCCTTCAATTTTTGAAGTTCAACTTATTGAACTCCATTTCTTACTGGATTGGTGGATCCATTTTGCCAAAAACGATTTTGAAATTTCTCAAAAGCATGTCTTCCAGATTTCTATTATTTGGAGAATCCATCACTAGTAAAAAAATTTATATGATTTCTTGGGATAGGATTTGCAAACCCAAGTATTGTGGTGGTTTAGGCATTCCCTCGCTGAACGCTTTACAGTTTTCTTTCAATTGCTCTGTGATTTCCAGAATGTATAATCGCCTCACTCCTTTGTCTGCTTGGCTAATTCATAGATATTCCTCCCCGTGATAGCCTGTTCCTATACCCTCCACTAATTTTTGGAAATATGTCTGTCGGACAGCCTTAGAGGCAAAATTTTTCTTCAAATTTAATATTACTGACACGGCCCCTGTTTCGTTACACTGGGATCATTGGTGCAATGCTCATACTCTTCATGAAACTGTTGATGGTCACTCCTTAATGCTACACACGAGGACACTTTTTTGAATGCTTTTATTGTTGATAAGCAATGGTGCTTTCCTGATTCCCTTCCTATCGAGATTCGTAAGGTTATACGTGTTATTTGCATTCAAGATAATTCTGTTCCATGTTTATACTGGAACCCCACGGGTGTTTGGCTCTTTTAGTGCTTATGTTAAAGGATTTCATATGCATATGGATAGTTGCACTTGGGCAAACCTGATTTGGCACAAAAAATCCGTTTTGAGATATTCTGCACTATCCTGGATAGCCATTGTGGGAGGTCTAAAAATAACGGATGCTTTGTTAAAGCGTAATGTCATTGTCCCTTCCACTTACGGGTTGTGTCATTCCTTCCCTGAAAGTTCCTCTCACTTATTCTTTGAGTGCTCTTTTTCCTTCTCTATTATCAACTATCTGCTGCCCGATTCTAGTGGTCTCTTGCTTAGACCCAACATGTTGCAATTACTGGAGTGGATAGATGAAAGCTTCTCTACGCAACAGGCTATCAAAAATTTGCACTGCTCATAGCTTGCTGTTCCATTTATTTTATTTGGAAAGAACAAAATGATAGAAGATTTGGAAATTCCTCACACATTCACATTATCATTGATATCAACATTAAATCATGATTTTTGGGCTCGTTTTTGAGTCAGTTTTTCCTTTTTGAGGCTATTGTTTTCATTACTTATAATCTTTTTTTATTAATATACGGGCCATGCCCAAATTTCCAAAAAAAAAAAAAATTGTTGAAAAGTTTTATTGTTTTATTTGCTATTACTTTTTTTAGTGATTTTTAAATCAATTTTATAATATAAAATTTAAAAAATTTTAATTAAAAAACGGCTTTAAGAACACATCGCCGCCTGCTCTTCCGACCGAGCAATTATTAGGTCCTTTCACTGGATGTAGAGGAAGGTTCGGTTTTAGCCAAAAATAGGTAAAAAGTGCAAATACCGAGTTTTTCAAAAAACTCGGTATTTGCACTTTTTACCTATTTTTGGCTAAAACCGAACCTTCCTCTACATCCAGTGAAAGTTTTTAGGCAAAACCGAACCTTCCTCTAGGTCCTTGCACCGGACCAAATAAAAACTCCTTCCGACCACACTTCGCCATTGTCGTTCTCTTTGCAACAACATCCTTACCTCGCCACCAGCTCTCCTGACAACAGCTTGTTGCTGCCTGCTATGTCGCGTCGTTTTGGTCGAGCTTTCGTGGAAACTGTGCTACAAAGTTATTAAATGGACTAATGGAGGATTCAGAAGCAGTAATATCTTGCGGGGTTTAGGAGGGTAACAGAGCGGTGTATGGCTTATGTTTCTTTTAATAATCAAGCGAAGTTAGCTATGCCATCAAATTTCCCTGGTGACGTCTGGCCCATGCCAAGCGCCTTCTTATAACGTTCAAATTTTAAAGCACGAACGTATTTAAATTCGTGATGACACCTCCGCTATCTCATACTCCCGCCAATGTGCTCCATGGCCGCTTCCACTCTCCTCCGCTGCTTCCGGCTCTCTCCAATCAAAGCCCTATTCTTCTATCGCGTTCTGTTTCACTTCTCTTCAATATCCCGACCAAAACCCAGCTGGAATTCCAACCAAAATCTCGTTGTCACACACCCAATCCTTTCATGCATGGAGTGCTGCGATTCCATGGCCGAGCTAAGGCAAATCCAAGCGCAGCTCACAAGAACTGGACTTATCATCCACCGCTTCCCAGCCAGCCGCGTCCTTGCCTTCTGCGCTCTTTCTGATAACGGGGACATGAACCATGCCCGACTCCTGTTCGATCGAATTCCTGACCCAAATACCTATATCTGGAACACTATGATCAGGGGATACATCAGATGGGGATATCCTCGAGTGGGCCTCTCTTTCTTCTGTGACATGAATGCCAAGAAGTTCAATTTCGATTGCAGAACATTTGTGTTCGTGCTCAAAGCCTGTGAGTATTTATCAGACTTCTTATTAGGACAAACGATCCATGGTTTAGCGTACAAGTGGGGGATTAATTTCGAAATGCTCGTTCAGAATGGTTTGATGCACTACTATATAAAGATGGGCCAGTTAGATTCTGTAAGAAAAGTGTTTGACGGAATGGCTGAAAGAGATGTTGTTTCCTGGACTACCATTATAGATGGGTATTCTGAAAACGGCCATTACACCGATGCATTGAGGACGTTTCAATGTATGTTGACCATTGGAGTTCAGCTGAATGCTGTGACTATGATCACAATGCTTTCTGTTTGCTCTCAAACTGGTTTCTTGAATCTTGGCAGGTCATTCCATGGTTATGTTGAAAAGAGTTTTTTAGGTGAGAACCTTAATTTGATGAATGCCTTGGTGGATATGTATGGGAAATGTGGATGCTTAGACTCTGCACGGAGAATTTTCGATTGGTTGGATATTAAGGATGTTTTCTCATGGACTAGTATGATGAGTGGGTATGCCAAATGTGGAGATTTGGAACATGCAAGGAAATTATTCGATAAAATGCCTGAAAAGAATGTTGTTTCTTGGAGTAGTATAATTGCAGGTTATGCTCAAGCAAATCAGTCTGAAGAAGCACTAAACTGTTTCCGTGAGATGCTCTTAGCTAATGTGGAACCAATAACTGCAACTCTTGTGAATGTGCTTTCAGCTTGCGGTCGATGTGGTTACTTGGATCTTGGCAGATGGATATATGAACACTACATTGAAAAAAAAGGGTTGAAACTTAGTGTGAATTTGTCAAATGCATTTATAGATATGTATGCTAAATGTGGAGCCATTAATTTAGCAGCCAAGATGTTTCATGAAATGACAGAAAGGGACATAGTTTCTTGGAACTCAATCATCATGGGATATGGATTTCATGGTCATGGAAGCAAAGCTGTCACCCTCTTCGAGCAATTAAAAAGAGAAGGTGTGGTTCCTGATGATATAACTTTTGTTGGTGTTCTCTCTGCTTGCGGTCATGCTGGTTTGGTTTCAGAGGGTCGGAGGTATTTTTTTGATATGAAAGCAGAGTTTGGTATTGAGCCAAAACCAGTGCATTATGCTTGTATGGTAGATCTCCTTGGTAGAGTTGGGCTTCTAGATGATGCCTATGAATTGGTAAGGAATATGCCAATTGAGCTGGATGAGGCTGGCTGGGGTGCCCTTCTTAATGCTTGCAAGGTGCATGGTAATTTGAAATTAGGTCATTATGCCGGAGAAAAACTTCTAGGAGTGGACCCCGGAGATAGTGGAGTTTATACACTTCTATCAAATATGTATGCAACTTGGAACAAGTGGGATGAAGTGAAACAGTTGAGGGTGATGATGAGGGATAGGAAAGTTAAAAAGGTTCCAGGCCTCAGCTCAATAGAGATTGAAGGGAAGTCTCATGGTTTCTTTGTTGCAGACAGATCACATGTTTGTTCTGAACGTATATATGCAATATTGAATATGATTTACATGCATTCAAGTGAGAAGGGTACAAACTGTTTCTGAACTTCTCTAGACTTTATTGGCATTTATGTGATGATCAAGCATAGCAAAATAAAGAGTTTTTTAAGTACAAGGCCAAAAGTTTTTGGCATTGACAAGCCAATGCTAGCATTTGGATTTCTGGAACTATGCCTTCCTAATGCAGGACTCAACCATGATGAATAGGGAATGAGGATTTATAAAATTGATGCAAATAGTTGGAAGAAGACTAAGATGATGGCACCTTATGCGTGCTCTGACGAGATGGACTGAATGACTCAGGAGATACGAAGCTTGTGGCCATCGGCGGAGTCACGTTGGGAGCACTAGCCACCATTGGCCTGTGCGAATAAATAAATATATATATATATAAGTCTTAACGAGATACATACCAACCTCCTCGCGCAGTCGTGCTGTTCTCCCTCGTCGACGGCTTGTTGTTCTCCCTTGTCTGTGTGAGTTCTCTCTTTCTCTCTTCTACACTCCTGATGTCTTCATCTCTCTCTCTTGTACTCTCTATCTCTTCGACCTTCTTGGGAATCCTTGAATAATTCAATTTAACAAAGAAGGTTTGGTTTGTTTAATTATTTTATTGTACTAATATGCAGAAAGCAGAAATGAAATATTATTTTTTTAACAGACACTCATATTTTTAAAAGCTGTAGAGCAATTTTTTTCATTTTTTGATACAACACAACATCATGTCTTTATCCCACTAGGTGGGGTTGGCAACATAGAATCATTTTTCTCCATTTTGTCTTATTAAGAGTTAAATTCTCATTTGAATCTAATAAAGAAAGGCCATTTCTAATGTTTTCTAATCATGTCTTTTCAGATTTACCTCTACCTTTCTTAACACAAGTCAAATCTAATACATCTATTCTCCTAAACGGGCCATCGAAGGCTGTCGTTTTATGTGAAGAAACTATTTTTTGAAAAATATATAAAAAAAATCTTATTCTGAATAATTTATAGTATTATATAGCTATAATTTTTTGTTATAAAAAACTATACATTTGTACTAAAGATAATTTAGAATTTATTTCTGAGAGTTCACAACCTATTTATACATTAAAGAATAATTAGGAAATTATAAAAATGAGGAATTCAATTATGCAAATATTCTCAATTATGCTTTTTACTAATCTATTTTTTTGTGCTTTGCTTAGAGTTAATCTAATCATTATAAATCTCCCTAAGTTCTCTTAAAACATTCTTTTATATAAGAAGATAATGTTTCCTGAAAGAAAAGAAATGAACTATTTGACAGGAATTTTAAGGGACGGGAATAAACTACAATTGCGTACATTACCTAGAGGAGGATGGCAATCTCTGATTCAAGTAAGTTAAAATTTTCGTATTTGGGTTGTAATTTATTTTTAAGATTCAAAATTTGTGTTCCACAACCAACAAAAAAAATCATGGTCCACAACTATTTGTGGCTATACTATATTGATGGTTAGCAAGTAGTTTGTTAGGAAACACTTGAAGATCTCAAGAATTTCCTAGCAATCTTTGGACAATAGCGAGAATTCTACACAAGAATCTACACAAAATCAAAAAAAAATAGTAGATGATTTGTATTATTTGATGAAAAAGAAACATAAAATACCAAGATACAATTGATCCTCTATTTGAGAGGAGCATCTATCTCTCCCAAATCTCTAGACGCCGCTAGAGCCCAAAAAATCTAAGAGATCTAAAATTACATCCAAATTCAAGATGCTCTAACCCTAGAAAAATAAATTATTTAATGCATACAATTCAAAAGGAATCTTTAAACAGCCCCTACTTTGAATTTTTCTTCCCAACTCTTCAAAAACCTTCTTAAACAGCTCTATAGAACTTGGGCGGTTGGATCCTGCATACAGGAGACGCAGACTTCTGTCTATTTCGCATGAGCCGGTCCCATAGGACCGGTTGGACCTTTCTAATGAGATGGTCTAACAATACTCCCATCCAAAAGACCCACCTTGTCCGCAAGGTGAAAAGTTGGCACCATCCTCCATTTCATCATCATCACAAACGGTAATAATCTGAAGAGTTCAGTCCTTAAACTTTTATCCTGGCGTATACCTCTCATCATATCTGAAACAAAACATCTTCACCCTTTTTTCCTGTAATTATGTTTCTGTGAGCTTCTTGAAGTTGTCCACAGCTCTCTTTTTACAGTTATCTCCTTCGAAGTCTCCCATAGAGTTTCCAGTTTTGGCTCCTTGGTTGCCAAAATGGTCATAGTCATCTTATACGAGCCTCCTGAGCTGCTGCCTCCCATTCCTCTCGTCAAGTGCCTCTGATCTTCCACCAATTGAGCTAGCTCCGTAGCCTCTCCTAAGTCATGAGGCCTCATCACTCTAACTGCTATACAGATCTTGGGGTTCAGTCCCTTCATAAAGTTCCCCTCCAGTGCAGTCTCTAGGAGCCGATCCAGTCGACTGGCAAGGTACTCAAATTGCTCACAGCACTGCACCATTGTTCCCTCTTGCATCAAAGTGAAGAATCGCTCATAGAAGTCCCCTCCCCTGCTGGTATGAAAATGTTTCAACAAACAATCTTTAAACTCCATCCAGGTCTGTATCGGTCGCCTCGTATCCCTTCATTGGTATCATGCTAAATCTTACCCTTCCAAGCACATCCTGGCTGCCGTCAGTCTCTCCCCCTCTGTCAACCTGTTGATGGCAAAGTACCTTTTTACCTCGTAAATCCATCCATGGGCATCCTATCCATAAAAAAAAGGCATCTTCAGCTTCCTCACCCTCAAATTGTCTCTGTTCCCTTCATAATTTCTCATTCCTCAAGGGGGTGGTTCCCCCCAAGTGTCCCAATCATCCCTTCTACGTTCATACCCAAGCCTTTCATCAAATTTCCACCTTCTCCTTTCAAATTCATCACCCCTTGGATCATAACAAACCCCTCATCTTTCAAATTCAGCCCTCCTTTGATCATAATTACACATTTTCCTTTCAAATTCAGCACCCTTCCACTCATGTCCAACCCTCTCATGCCTCCCCACATACCCTCTACCCAACTCCTCCCTAGGAATATATAAAGGCCATTTTGCTCCCAGGTTCGTCCGGACGAAGTCGGATCGTCCGGGACGATCGGTACAGGTTGTGCAGGAAAATATGTTTGGCTGCATGGTTCGTCTGGACGAAAGTCGGATCGTCTGGACGAAAATTTTACAGAGCCAAGTCGTCCAAGGACGGTAATTAATCTCGTCTGGACGAAATTCGTCTAGAGCCAAATCGTCCCGGGATGAAGTTGTGATCGTCCGGGACGATCAATCTGGATATATATAGAAATGAGATATTTTGAAGAGAGAGAAAAGTCTAGGAGAGAGAAAAATGAAGGAAAAAGAAGGAAAAGTGATTTTTGAGAGACTCCCGTCCGTTGCAGTAGTTCAAGAAATTGGTGTACGCAAGGTAAGGCACATTCCGCCTTTCTCAATTTTCAGAACGGTGAAGTTTGAACGATTTTTCTGTCCGGATTTCGTTTTCGTTAGCGAATTTCGTCCGTATTTTCCGATTGGTTCAGTTTTTACCGCGTAACTTTTGGTATGTTTCTGAGGTGCCGAGTGCGCGCGTTTTAATTATTTTCTAGAGAATTTTGACAGGATAGTTTTGATTCGGTGGTGTTTTATTTTGACTGTAATTTCTGATGAAGTCTGAAATTATCTGGGCAGTAGAATAAAAGTCTTGCAATGTTGCTGTGAATATTCTATGCTAATTTGGTAATTTTATGAATTTAGAAATTTTTGTATAAATTCCGTATACTGCCGTTATGCCGCTGGATTTTGTACGATTTCTGAAATTATCCGGATTTGTTCTGAAATGACATGATATGATTGTGTGCTATGAAAAGGGAGTTATAAGGGGTCAGGATCCTGTGAGATCCTGTCTATGTCAAGGAAATCTGAAATGAGCTCTGAAATATGAAAACAAGTTCTGTTCCGGATCCGATGATAAGTTCTGTTCTGGTGCTATAAGAACATCTGTTCTGGTGCCATGAGCACAAAGGGAGGCATAAGGGGCCAGAATCCGAGAGATTCTATCAGTGTCTGGGAAGGGAGGTATAAGGGGCTAGAATCCGTTGAGATTCTGTCAGAGTCAGGAAATCCGTTCTGACTTTTGATATGTTCTGAATTGATATGATTTCTAATTTCTGCACGATTTTGATATGATTTATGATTCTGATACGATTCTGTTTTGTTCTGATGTGATCTGATCTGTATGATTCTGTTCTGATTTAATTTCTGGAATTATGATTTCTGTGATTTTTGTTCTGTTCTGATTCGATATATGATTCTGTTGATCTGATTTTTGTACGAATTTTTGTCTAATGTGTTTGATGTGGATTCTGAGGATTTTGATTGGAGGTTTGATGTCTTGTTGAGCTGTTGTAGCTCATCCTTATTTTCTGTGTGATTTTCAGGTTCTGGGAAAGGGAAGGAAGTCTTGGAGTAGGAGTTCAAAGTCTGATCTGTTATAGGTATTGTACTTTTGATTTTTGTACAGTCATGACTTTTGTGTTCTATTTTTCTTTCTGTCTGAAAGCCATGAGCTGTATTTGTATATGATTTTTTAGAGGAAGAAAAAGATAGATGATCTGTTCCGCTGCATTTTGATGTTTATAGTAGCTCTGTGTGTCTATTTCTGTGTATAAATATTTGGAAGAAAGTTCTGAAATAAATTCCAAAGCCAGATCCTGGAATCAGTTCAATCAATTTGAGTTTGGGCACGACCCGACGCGAGCAGGATCCGTCCCGATCGGGTTGGGTCGTGACAGAATAGGCCCTAGGGGAGGCAATTTTTTTGTTTCCTCCAAAATCTCCACCTCTTGATCTTCCCTTCATCTTGTTGGCTTAGGATTTTCACCATTTCCTTAGCTGTTGGACCCTACCCTCACTTTTGACCTCAATATTTTGGTTTAGCCCTCGAGCACTTTCTTCAACATCTCCTTCAGGATGGAAAATTTTGAATTGGACTTATCATAGATGGCTGAAATATCTTCTTTTAAATCTAAAACTTGAGTTTGGATATATGAAATTTCTGATTTTATTTGTCTGATCTTCCCTTCCAATACTTCTAATTTTCTTCCGTCATGGGTGCCCGGATCGAACAGCTTTGATACCAATTTGTTAGGAAACACTTGAAGATCTCAAGAAATTCCTAGCAATCTTTCGAAAACAGCGAGAATTCTCTACAAAAATCCACAAAAAAAAACACTAGATGATTTGTATTATTTGATTAAAAAGAAACGGAAAATGCCAAGATATACTTGATCATCTATTTGAGAGGAGGATCTATCATAGATGGCTGAAAATTTTGAAACGAACATATCATAGATGGTTGAAATATCTTCTTTTAAATCTAAAACTTGAGTTTGGCGATATGAAATTTCAGATTTTATTTGTCTGATCTCCCCTTCCAATACTTCTAATTTTCTTCCAGTCATGGGTGCCCGGATCGAACAGCTCTGATATCAATTTCTTAGGAAACACTTGAAGATCTCAAGAAATTCCTAGCAATCTTTGAAAAACAGCGAGAATTCTTTACAAAAATTCACACAAAACCAAAAAAAAAATAGTAGATAATTTGTATTATTTGATTAAAAAGAAACGAAAAATGCCAAGATACAATTGATCATCTATTTGAGAGGAGGATCTATTTCTCCCAAATCTCTAGACGCCGCTAGAGCCCAAAAAATCTAAGAGATCTCAAATTTCAGCCAAATTCAAGATGCTCTAACCTTAGGAAAACAAATTATTTAATGCATATAATTCAAAAGGAAATATCTAAACAACCCCTACTTTGAAATTTCCCTCCCAAGTCCCTTCAAAAACCTTCCTAAACGGCTCTGTAGAACCTAGGCTATCAGATCCTGCGTACAAAAGGCGGAGACTTCTGCTTGTTTCGCACGAGCCGGTCCCATATATGAATGGTTGATACTTTGTCCTCAATGCTTCAATTCTGTCATAGGTTATCAGTTTTTTTTTTTTTTTGGTTTGAAATTGCCTGTGTTGAATATTAGCTGATTACGTTTGCTTCATTTCATCATGTTGGCAGTAAATCGTGATGCACGTATGTTGGGCTTTGACATTGAATAATTTATATCCTTCAGTGGATTTCAAGGTTGCTTGGATGAGTCAGGCTAGTATTTCTTTAGTACTTGACATTCAAATGATATAGTTACTTGATAATATTTGGCCTCACTAATATTCTAGAACTCTGACTAATGAAGACCAAAGTTTTGTGGAATCAAGTTATGCTTGCATTTTTGGCTACTAAAGCTGGTTGTTCAAACAGAATTTTGGGGTCAACTCCACACTGATATGTAAGCTTTCCTTCAGTTTTTGGCATTTTGTGCTTCAATTTCTACCCTTTAAACTTGTATCCTAGGGATTTTTACTTGAAAAATTGATGAAGTTACTAAAACAATCAATTCAAAACCTGCAGCTTCAAATGGAAATAAACGGAAACAGGGAGGAAGATGATGTCTTAAGATTGAACTTGAACATCGAGCGAATTGAATGATTCCAAATGCTAGAGGAAAAATAAACAGTAAGAGGATCTTCAGTGAGTTTCTTTATAAACAGATTATCATGTCTTGATATTATTAACTATATTTTCATATGTGCACTTTTCCCATTACGTAGTCAAGTTATTTTCATATCTAAAAAAGTATTTCCTATTACTTGCCAGTGCTGAATTTTTCCAGTTATCGATTGCATAGTGTGAATTATGGAAATTATTACAGACTGGTTTTAATCTTTTTTGACATTTGTATTGCACTCGTTCCAAATTGTACTAGTTGACATATGGTCTCATGAAGGTCTTTTGGGACATCCTCTCGGATGAGTTACTTAATGGGCATCGAAAAAATAAATCTTACAGGAGAAATAGATTAAAAAACAAATGAAAACGGAAAGTAAAACTAAAAAAATTATAATATTCAGCAAGTTTGATTTAGCTATATCTACGCACATATAGAAATATGTCTATTGCTATAGCGAAAAGTACATCAAATTGTTTGTCTTACAAATTTTGGAAGTAAAATAAAAAGATATAAAGCCAATGAAGGAGACTTAAAGGAGAATATTTAATGAACCTTGAGTAATTTTCCTTATCCGTAGAAACAATTTAATTTAAATTTGTCCATGGATAATATCAGATCGTATTATTAGGTCAACTTGATGAGCTAGAATCTGTGAGTTAGAATAAGGAGTGCAGAGATAGAGATAGATAGATAGAGAGAGAGAGTAGGAAGTCAGTTGTTAATAGAGTATTTACTATTAGAGAAAATTTCGGACTTCAAGAGTAAAAAGTCCTTTCAATTGCTCTTTATCATGATTTGTTTATAGGATTTTGAAGTTTAAAACAAAGGCTATATAGAGATAAAATCAAGAAATACAAGCTACACGGAATACATGTACAACACAACTCGCTAATTTAACATGTGTCGCCTCCTAATAAGTTGGAGAGGAAGAAGTGTCATAACCTAACCCAACATAACAAATAAGTTATATTAGACAGAGATTTTGGCCAAGATCTATTTAGAAGTAATTTCTTTTTATCTTCCAAAATATCCATATAAAATAATTTTCTAGGATTAGATGGGGCATTTAAAGAATATTAACAAGAATATTTTTTAGAGTAAGATTTTAAATTTTAAGATTGTCTTTACATGAGAATGCTAGTGTTATGTGGGAAAAAGTGACTAGTGATATTAAAAATATTGCAAAAGATGTGCTTAAAATTTTGAAGGGAAAAGCTCATAATAGTAAAAATAGTTGGTGGTGAAATTCAAATATGCAAGAAAAGATAAAAAATAAGAACATTTGTTATAAAAATTGATTTAGATGCAAAAATTTTAATAATTGAGAAAGCTATAAAGAGGCTCATAAGGAATCTAAGAAAGTTATTTGCGATGCAAAGAGCTTAGCTTTTAATGATTTATATAATAGATTATATACTAAGGAAGGAGAAATATATATGTATAAGTTAGCCAAACAAAGAGATAGGAGTAGTAAGGATTTGTTCAAGTGAAGTGTATAGAGGATGAAGATCAAAAAGTACTTTTCTTAGAAGTTGATATTCAACAAAGGTGGATGAGATACTTTGCTAAACTTTTTAACGAAGAATGTAAAAATATGATTACCTTTAGTGACTTTAGCACCCTAAATGAAAATAAATATTTTTATTTTTATCGGCGTATTAGTAAAACTGAAGTTAGAGAGGCTTTAAAGAAAATAAAGTGTGGAAAAGTTGTTGGATCTGATGATATTTCAATAGAGACGTGGAAATGCTTAGGAGATGAAGGAATTTCTTAGTTTACTAAACTTTTTAATACTGTTTTGAAGACAAAAGATATCAGATGAGTGTATAATGAGTGTGTTAATTCTTATTTTTAAGAATAAAGATGATGCACAGGAGTGTACGAATTATAAAGGAATTAAGTTAATGTTTCATACTTTAAAACTATGGGAGCAAGTTATGGAGCGTAGGTTGTGGCGTGATACTAATGTTTTTCAAAATCAATTTAGATTTATGCCGGGTAGGTCTACTATGGAAGCCATACATTTATTAAGAAGTTTGATAGAGAAATATAGAGAGAATAAGGAGGATCTACATGTGATATTTATTGATTTAGAGAAAGCATATGATAAAGTTTCAAGAGAAGTGCTATGGAGAGTTCTTGAAAAGAAAGGACTTAATAACACTTATATTCAAATCATTAAAAATATGTATGCAAGAGCTATTACTTGTGTTTAAACACAAGGTGGTTTGACCAATTATTTTTTTATTTTGGTTGGATTACATCAAGAATCAGCCTTAAGCCCATATCTTTTTGCTTTAATCATGGGATGTTTTTATGTAATGTCTTATAATTTGGTTAAATTCTGAAAATGTGAATTTTTGCTCAGTATGGTTTTTGTTGTCTATTGTTATGATATTTTTATATTTTTTGAATTAAGCTCGATTATACTTTATTTACTACAATACATTGAAAATGAATGTGGATATGTGATTGAGATTACTATTATATTATTATGATAATAATGTGTGTGTGTGTGTAAAGGACAAGTAAAAACTGGTTGACCCGTTGGTTGAAAACTGATTGACATGTACATGATAGTGGGCCGACGGGCTTTCTTTTATATATCACGATTTGGTGTTATCCTCTACTGGTTCACATGACACACTGATTGAGAGTTATAAGGAAATTATTACTGTGCAGATAGGCAAAGATTGACGACTCTGTTTACTGAGCCAACGATTTACCGATACTGATACAATGCTAAAATACACCATGATAGTCACAATTTCTTACTTGTTTAGTATGACTATTGAAATGCATGTTCTTGAGGCATTGTTCTTATTATTGTACGAATTTATTATTACTGCATAGATTTACTATTATTGCATTATTTTACTGCTCTTGTGACTGTATTATTATTGTTACTTATTTATATACTGATACTGAGCATGTGTCAATCTAAACACTGAATATAGTAATTTGATATTGATATAGAATAATTGGATAACATGTGTACATTCTTATATGATTTTACTATATTGATGTAATTTCAAGAGTCTTTAATGATAGTTTGATTTGATACTTTATATGATTTTACTATATTGATTTAATTTCAAGAGTCTATAATGATGTTTTGATTTGATACTTTATTCGATTTATGTACAAATGTTTAAAATTGCGCAATTGGATATTGATGTGTTTTTTGTTCATGAGTCGAGGCGTAAGCCTCAAGGCGTTTTGAGGCGTAAGCCTCAAAATCAAAAAATTTTGTAAAGTGATAATAAATGTCAAAAGCGGTTTTTATATAATACATAAATAATATGTTAAATGATGACATATTAACTTTATATTGTATTATGAATTAGCAAATTAGCATACACATGAAATAAAAAATTGCACAAAATATAAATTGACAAATAATAAATTGCATGAAATAGAATTAAAATTCAAATATTATAAAAATAAAACAATATTAAATATAGAAATTGCAAAGTGTCATATAACATCAAGTTCAACTCCAAATTTTCTTTTTTATCAATTCTCAACTAATTTATATTTAATTCTTAATAAAAGTTGAAATAGTTAGCAACAACTTAGGAATTATTTGCACTGTCATCACTGAGGTGGTCTTTTTCTAAGTTGTTGCATAACAAATTGGTCTATCCCCTTCCTCATTCAGTAAAGTTGAATGCATCCCAATATATTTCTTTTTAATTTATTTCAATCATATTCATCTTTTAGAAATATTTTTATCAAAATAAATATGAGATTAATGCTCCAAACTTTTTTGGCTAGTTGTGTGCAGCTTTCAAGTGATTGTCGGTGACAACTATGACGGTGTTGGTTACGGCGAAGGCCGTGGGATGGAGGCAGTGGCGGAGCCAGAAATTTTATTCAGGGAGTGGGGGGGGGGCACCGTTTGGACAACTTTCTTACTATTTTTTAAAACATGTAGACACCCTTAGCTCTTAGAAATAATTATCTATAGTTGTTGTGACTTCAAAATTTTATTCAATGAATATTATCAACAGGTTTATTTTAAAATATATATAGGCACATCAAATTTATTTTTGATGCTTTATGTTTTGAATATATCTAACGATTTAGGCTTCGTTGGGACAGCTTTCTTATTATTTTTAAAGCAATTTTTTAGCTGAAAATTTTTTCAACTAAAAATTTGTACTAAAAAATAGTTTTAAAAATATATAAGTCCATCCAAACAGGATCTTAAACTATATTATTAATTTGTGCTTGATTAGATAGATTTAAGGAAAAGTTTTAATTTAATTTCTCTTTATATCTCTTTTTAGGAATTTAAATAATTGAACCTAATAATCTCTCTCTCTCCTCTCTCTTCTCTCTCTCTCTCTTCTACCTTATAGCACATAACGTTAACACATACACCAATACCAGTACAGTGATATAGCCTGTAACTTCTTACAGCCTGTAAGAATGAAATGGCAACAAGTTTTCCTTCTCTCTATTTTCTACAATTTCTTTCCTCTCATACCTGCAATACTGTTTTAAATTATAGATATAAATGATTTTTTTAGGGGGGCACGTGCCCCCCTTGCCCCCCCCCCCCAATGGATGGAGGTAGAGGCAATCGAGAGGAAGTTGTTGCATTTGAATGTGCATAAAGACATGATTTATATTAGTTTTAACAAAAAAATTATACAAATAGGGTGAGGCGTAAGCCTCATGCTAGTAAGGTGAGGCGTAAGCCTCATGCTAGTAAGGTGAGGCGTAAGCCTCATGCTAGTAAGGTGAGGCGTAAGCCTCATGCTAGTAAGGTGAGGCGTAAGCCTCATGCTAGTAAGGCGAGGCGTGCCTCAAGGCGGGCCTCAGCCAATTCGAGGCGCAAGCCTCATAAAAAAGTTAGAGGCGTAAGCCTTGAGGCATTTTTCACTAGAATTGCACTGAGGCGGGCCTCAAGGCGAGCCTCATATTACACAATTTTAAACAATGTTATGTACTGATTGATATTACAAATATGATAATTGCTTTATAGATTTGATAATCATATCGGTTTTTCACTTTATTAGCTTTAGTACCGTAATGTTTTACTGCTTACAGATCCTACTATTGCTTCTTGTGAATTTTACTTTTTCTACATTTATTCAATGATCATATGAATATAACTGTTATGATTTGACTGTTGACATACATATTATTCATTTATCGTGCCTTGAATTCAGTTATTGATTTTGATGACCTGCTAGGCTTTTTAGCTCAATATATGTGATTAAATGATTTAAGTCCAGGGAAAGGGAGCAGGAGTGTGAGGCTTGTCAGGATTCCTTCAGGTTTAGATTTTTTTTTGTTATAGTTATTCATTTATACTCATGATAGAATAATGTATATAATTTTTTATAATGAATATAGATGTGTACATTAATATTTTAAATTATTAAATTTATTTTTATTGTTTATTACTGATAAAAGATAATAGATAGCTCTGGTTATTATTTATTAGAAGATTAAAAGAATAATTCTTTCAATTTAGATTAAGGGGCATCACATGGGCCCCGACGAGCGCGTCGTATGTGTATGTGTGGCGTCTGAGGATGTTGTGCAGGTCAATAAGTGAAATCAAATTCGAACTCGATCTTTCAGTATAGGTCAATAGCAGTCGATACGGTTCGAACTGTTGAGCAAATATACACTCATGACGTCGATCGGGATATTTATTTTATATGTTCATATTAGGCCTTAAAGGCCTATAATTAGAAAACTTTCACTCTTAAAAGCATAACGCTGATAACGAACCCAATTCTTCATCGACAAGTTGGCAGAGTCGACAAAGTTTAGCCAACAAAATGGAAATTGCCTATAAAAATCTCTATGATGCCTATGTTGAATGCTAATCTCAACCGGAGGTGACTCCAAATATTTTAAAAACTTCCTAAATTCTCAAATGACCATGAAATTCAAATTAAAAAAAAAAATTATTAAAAAAATTTAAAATATTTAAAATTGAAATAAATCATTAAAATGCTTAAAGCAAAATTTATCCAACGTTCACAACTATTTGCTAAGGTAAACAAGTTTGAAATACACTTCAGCTAATAAAAAACAAATTTCTGATCGACAATGTTACTAGGATTAATTCTCAATCCGCACTCTGACAGTAAGGATATGAAATTAGTCCTCTAATCGACTGTTTGACCGTATGGCTTCACAAAGAACTTGTGGTTTGGCCAAATGAGTTTGTGTGGTCAACGATTATGATCGCGACCTAGTGGCTTAGTCCAACGATTTCACTGTATTATAGTTACGTTCATAGTATGCATGTTCCCCAATGATTTCAAATTCTTGAGATATGAAATAATAGGATATAATCGATAGGGCACAAAGCTTTTTGTTAGCTAGGGCCGATTCAAAGTTGTCCCCTTAGACAATATTCAACATAGGTCTATAAGATACCCTTAGATGAAGCAACCCATGGCTGTCGATAAGAATCCTTCTGTCATGTTGGATCAACTACCTCATCTGACTAAGTAGATCAGGGACCATGATGGCCCGAGACGACGGAATCATGGGATCTTGATCAGGCCCATCGTCTTTCCCACACCATTTGCATTAAGTACGAGGTGATGGAATTTATAATTTTAGTTATTAAGTTCTCAAATATCAAACCATGTTGCTACTATATTCCAGATATATGCTACGTATCTAATTGATGAGTAGCCTTAATCGAAAGTTCTCTCTCGTTATTGAGAGGGGTAATCAACTATATGGGCTTGCGCCTATAGGAAACTTGAACTCAGATCTAAAGTCCTTACAAAATGAGGACAAAAATTATGTGTAGTGTCTTATTTCAAACCCAATCTGTCTTCTAAAAATTTACCTCAAATTCGTTGAAACTCTCCTGAAAGAGGAGAGGCTGGGGCACAAATTTTCGGAGCCCGCAAGATGATAGCATGCTTGTGTTCCCGTGGAGGCCCTTAAACTGGCTGAAACGCCTCTCGATACTGTTGTGAGTGGATGAACTATGTGTGGTGCTTCTATCTTCTCGCCATCATCTTTGACTTTCAAATTCTACAACTCCCCTAAAAATCTCATTCCTTCACCATTTCCCCTCTTTGGAAGTGGCTCCAAAATCACCTTCATGTCATTTATCAATGTAACTGGTAATGTTGAGCTCGCAGGAACCAGATTTTTCATAGGTGAGGTCATTGAATTCTTGCTCACTTGAGATTGAGAAACTACATAGGCTTTGGAATCTTGTCTGGTATAAGCAAGATTTATTAAACAAAATTTTGCATCAGATTCAGGTACTCTAGCAAAATTTAAATTATGCTTTGTTGACAGTTATGCTTGGCAAGAATTGAATGTCGTTGATGTTGATAATCTCCTTTAACGTGAAGATCCAATAGCTTTTTTATCATTCCTTCTGGGTTGAAAAATTTTTCTTTCATTGATGGCATTTTGTCTTCAAACGTTGATTTGAGTTAGCTAATATTTCTTTTAAGATGCTCTTCCAAGGCATCAACTTTTCTTGCCATCATAGGTACCAAAAAAGTGTTATGATACCAATTTGATAGGAAGTGGATGAACTTTTCACAAAAATTAGCGGATGAAATATAAAAATTTGGGAAAAACCCCCCAAAATAATTTTTTTTCGAAAGAACTATAAAGAGAAATGCAAGATATAATTGGATCTTCAATTATAGAGGAAGATCCGGCTCTTCCAAATCCCTAGCCATCGTCTAGAGCCCAAATAATATAAGAATAAGCTAAATTCAGCAAATTCTAAAGCATAATCCTGAATCACCCTATTGTTAGCCTAAAATAGGCTCCCATAATTCCCTCTCAATGGTAATTAAAATATTTCTAAATAATTCCCCTTTGAGTAAGAACCTTCATAGACAACTCCCTCTTGATTAGAAAACTTCATAATTTTCTCCCAATCAAGTTGACCGGTACATCACATATCTCTGTCATTCTGAATCATATAATAGCCAACCTTTCTTGTATACATATTTCACAACATATATAACATAGTAAGCAAGTGGTATTATACTCAATGTTCAATTCATGATTTATATATATCATGACTAGTGGCATTCATAAAAAAAATAAGTATACTCATTTTCATATTTATATAAACACAACAATGAATTATAACAAATATGCATGTCATATAATAGTATTATGAAATTTTTAATAATGATTTATCAAATTTTCATGTTTATCTAAATTTATAAAATTAAGGCATTTTTCCCAAAATATAAAAAAACCCGAAAAAAATTTAATATATTCGTGTTAATATATGCAGTATGATTGATACTATAGCATACTAAAAGTTACACGTGAAAGTTTGCTAAAAATTAGGATATCATAAATTTTATAAGTTTTGATCAAATTAAAATTAAGAAAATATAAAATAAGTAAAATCATTGAAATCAGAGGTAGAGTAATGATAGTCTACCTCGAGATGAGCAAATTTCTCAACTCATGATACATCTTACTACTAGGGTGAACAATATAATCAAATTACTGAGCTTCATGTACAATTTTACTACTTAATTCTGAATAATTAGGAACTCATAGTTGACCAATACATATCAATATTTCATTTTCATTCACTTGTAATTCTTCTCTCTTTCCTGATTTGACTTGGTCAATTAATTTTGAATATTCTTCATCAAGTTTCTAAGCTTCTTAAATTCTTTCTTGTAAAGTTGGTTGAACAATCATTGGAAATAACGACCCAACACTCATATTAATTATTTTTTTACTATTCCTAAATTTAAGTTCTCCATCTCAGATATCAATGCAATTTAGATGTGATCCAATTTATTATTTATGAAGACTTTCTACTCAAAGCATCCACAAAAATATTAGCCTTCCTAGGTTGATACTAAATACTGATATCATTGTCTTTAATTAGTTC